GGCTGCAGCGGGGGCGGGTCAACACAGCCTGTGACCTCGCCAGGTTCCACCTCTAGCGTGTTGGACCTCGAAGTCCCCCACCGACAGTTTCCCACTAGGTTCCGTGCCTGGCTAAGGCCCACTGTCTGCCTGCCTCTGCACGCCACGCAGCAAACCCCCAGCCTGCCTGCGCGGGCGACAGCTCGGCCGGTGCGTCAGTGCGTCCCACTCGTCGCAGCAGTGTCGCGCCTGCTCGCTTACGCCGCGGCCTGCCCGGCCGGAAGCGAGCCGAACGTCTGGAAATCCAGTCGGCACCGCGACCGGACCGGGTCGGGTCGGGCCGGGCCAACACAAACAGCAGCCGACGGGCCGCCGGTGCGACACCGCGCACGAGCCGCTTCCGTGCCGACGGTCTCGCTGTCCTGCCGTCTCCGGCACAATCCGGCTAGTCAGCTGATCCGCGTAACCAAGGCGACCGCTCAGCCATTGGTCCTTTTCGGAGAAAAAATCTAGCCGCGCCGGCATTTATTTGACGCAGTCGTTTAACACATGGTTCTTCGGTGCATTGTCTATAAAATTCTGACAGAAATGATCTCGCGGTAGCCTCTGACTTCTGTCCAACCCAGCGAAGGAAAAGGTGAAAAATAACAAAAAATAGCATGCCTCCATCAACAAATGAACCATATCTAGCAATTTTGTATTGGGCAGGGGGCTCTCACTAGCAGGGGAACGCGTTGACAACCCTATGCCCTTCTTACCACGGCTCTGGCTGCGCCCCTGTCACCCCATCTCCACCCCCCCCCCCCCCCCCCCGCCAGCTCGCCACCCGGTCGGGCTACACAGCCGGCCACAAGGCTGTCAGCAGGTGGGGGGGGGGGGGCTGCGGTGCGCGTGTGTGCGTGTGGGCGTGATGGAGGATCGGTTTCAATCGGCCGCCCCAGCGGCTGGTTTGTTTCCGGACTGGGGTTTCAACGGTGCCGTGATGCGGCTCACACCAGGGCGCGAGCTGACGTGTGAGCATTGAACACCGATCAGCAGAAGGCCGTCCAGTATCGCCTCCTGCGCTGTACTGAACCGCTTATCCGCGGCTGGATGTCGCCGAGTCCTTTTGTAGCCGTCCGCCTGCCGCGGGGACAGCCCATGGCACACAGCACGGAGGTGGCTTTGGGCAGCCCTGAACACGCCGGAGCGGAACACCAGACTCACCGCCGACGCTCCCGCCGTCCGACGTACCACAAGCACGCCAGCGAAACTCCAAATCAACTCGGAGTACTTTGGTAATTGGATAAATGCTAGTCCGAAACTATGTAACCTGGTCCACGCCAACCGTCGAAGGCCAGCTTCCCTGTCCCTCGTCGGCCAGGTCCCCCAGTGCACGGGGCACCGGGCGGCGGGCGGCGGGTGGCCACTGCGGCATCGTTCTCCGCGGGAGCGTCCGTGTGCTCCGCTAGCGTTTGTCCGCCGGGCCAGGCCGAGCCGACCCCGGGGAGCGGCGCCGCTCGAGCGAGCCATCAGAGCGCCCGGCGGGCCACCGGGCCGGGCCGAAATAGGTCCGGGCCAGCCGCCCGGGGACACAGCGCGCGCCGATGCGTAAGGTCATTACTGGGCCGGCGGACACGACACCGGCGGATACGACACCGGCGGACACGGCAGGGCCGGCACAACCGGAGGACCCGGCAGGGCCGGCAACCCACGGGCGGGACACGGCGCCAGGCGGACACGGCAGGGGCCAGCACACCAGAGGACACGGGCAGTGCCCGGTTACACCGGCGGACACGGCGCTGGCGGGACACGGGGCCGGGCGGGACACCACGGGGCCGGCCACAGACCGGCGGACGCGGCGCCGGCGGACATGACGAGCAGGGCGCACTGCCGGCGCAGGGGCAAACAGGAGCAGCCCTGTGACGCGTGTTATGTCGCGACAGCCAACAGGCCGGAGGGATCACGTGACGCGATATGGACAGCCGGGGGCTCACGTGAAACACGGACCGGTCTAGCCCACGCGGCGGGGACGGCACAGAGCGAAGCCAGCGCTGGGCACGCGATAGGTCAGGCAGGCTGACCTCTGATCAGTCAGGCTGATCAGAGGACAGGTCAGGCAGGCTGACCTCTGATCAGTCAGGCTGATCAGGCAGGCTCACTCTCGTGGTCTCTCACCACCCGCTGTGTACTCGCCTCGCGTCACGGCGGCGCGGCCAGAGAACGATGGGCGCCCTAGATGACCGCGCGCTTCCCAAATGGACGAGCGGCGGCCACTCACTTTATGGCGACTTTGCTGGATGTCTCCTTGCAACAGCTAGCACCGCTGTGCCCGGTCACCCACCCGCAGCCGGTAAGTGACGCGTCCCGGACCAAGGCTTGGGACGTCCTGTACAGCGCAGGACAGAGACGGTACGCCCCGCACGTGACATGTGGGGCTGGTTCGGCTCCAGCGGTGTGCCGTCCTCAGCACCGGAGGCAGGCTCGGCGCGCCGCCGAAGCGCAATCACATCAGCCGACAGCAGACACGAATGCGAAGCGCATAAACGTCCACGGCGATCCACCGGCCACAGCCATGAGGCTAGCCAGGCCGGTCTGTCAACGGAGAAGCGTGGCATTCCGTTCCAATACGCCGCGCCCCGGCGGTGCTCTGAATCCACGGCATGATCTTCAGCTCAGGGCGGCTGGGCTTTCAAGTTCGAACCGTCGGTGACCACATACCAGTGGGCGCAGTCAAAATAGTGAGGGCGGGCGGCACCTCGCCTCAAGGTCGGCCCGCTGGTAACCCGTTGGGTGACAGCCTGGGACGGGCGGCCGCGGCCGCCGCGGGAGTCTCCACCCGGCCGGAGTCGCGACCGCCCCACTGGCAGCTGTCCGCGGGATGGTCTCCACCCGGCCGGGGTCGCGACCGACCCACCGGCAGCTGTCCGCGGGAGTCTCCACCCCCGGCCCCGGATAGTCGCGACCGACCCACCGGCAAGCTGTCCGCGGGAGTCTCCACCCGGCCGGAGTCCCGACCCGACCCACCGGCAGCTGTCCGCGGGAGTCTCCACCCGGCCGGAGTCGCGACCGACCCACTGGCAGCCCGTCTCCAGCCTGCGTCCAGCACACCGACGCAGAAGCTCCTGTGTAGTGCTGACAAGGCCCGATGGACACATGCCACGCTCGCAAAATATTCGCCATTTTTCCCAATCGCAACAAACATTATTTTGCAGGCCTATCGAGTGCTTGTCATTTCAAGTTTTGCCAAGAATGACAGATTCATGATCATGACCAGAGCCCGCCGCGGTTCGCTATCTGGGCGACGGACGATAAACTACGAACGGCCGAGTAGGTAATAAAGTTTTTATATTGAACTCTTTTTCAGGTGTGAAACCATATGATTCACACTTTTTCCAAGGAGGACGGACAGCAGCAGGCGAATCCACTGTCGCCGCGCCCGGAGTGCCTGCGAGTCTTGGGATCCCAACACGTTCTCTCCCCCACTCGCCGAGCAGTGGTCACGGCGTTTGCGTCCGGATCAGGTGGGCCGCTCAGAGTCGCAGCGGCCCGTTCAGAGCCACAACGAGCCGCTCGGAGCCGTAGCGGCCCGCGCAGAGCTGCAGCGGGCCGCTCCGAGTCGTAACGGCCGCCCTTTCAGCACACTCCGCTCCTGGCCGGGGTCACTTGCCCACGCGTAGATACAGCGCGACAGCTCCGGCCGAACATGCCGTGCACAGGTGCACGATTGGCGGCATCGGTACCGGCAGCACACACCCTGCCAGCCACCTCGCAGTTCCGCAATGACTGGAGCGCGGTCAGAGCTCGGGGGAGACGGCTGGTGCCTTTTGGGCCTGCGTGACGAGCACCAGTCCACAGCGAATGCTACTCACCGCTCACGGCATTACACAGGCACGCACATAGCATCGGACCGAAGCCAGGTGACTGCTGCCAGGTTGCACAATCGCTAGCTGTCGTGGTAAATGCGTGATTGTCCTGAGCCCAGCGTCGCTTCGCCCCGCAAAAACCGTCCACAAACAGCCCGGCAGCCGCAGCCGCGGCGCCAAGCGTGTGGCCCACCAGCCCGGCGCGTCATCACAACAGCGAGCGGCGGGCTGCCAGCGTGGCCGAAGCTGGCCGGCGCGGCGCCGCCGACGCCACGTCCGCCGACTTCCGGACAGGAGCCGGCAGGGGAGGGGCGGGCTGCCAGCGTGGCCCCCGCCGACGCCACGTTCCGCCGACCTTCCGGACGGAGCCAGGGGAGGGGGGGCGGGGAGGGGAGGGGACGGAATGCGTGGGGCGGCCACTGGCACCGGCCGCCTCAGGAATGCCGGCGTCGGGCGGCCGCGCCCGCCGACGCACGCGCACACGCACAAAACATCTCCAGAATTGTGCCGCGCGCCCTGCCAGCTGATAGACAAATGTGCGAAGACGAGACGCGGAGGGGGGGGGGGGGGGGGGGACGTCCGGTCGTCACGGTGACGACAGAAAGCAGGGATAGGTGTCACCAGCCAGGACTGATGACGTCCACAGCAGGTGGAGTGAAGGTGAGGGGGAGGGACAAGTGACGCAGTTCACGGATCACGAGTCACGGAGGTCAGAAAGGGGTTGGGACAGGTCAGGAGGGCGTAATTACAGAGTGGTTAGCGCCTTTGGTTCCCGCGTGGGGGACCCCAGTTCGAATCCCGGTTGCGTCATGGCTCCCGGGTGCCAATATGACTACTGCAGTCTCCGGGGTTCCATAAAGGGTGCGCGATGACATCCACAGAAGTCAGGTGAAAGAGTCCATACAGGGTTCTGTGACATCAGCCAAAGAGACTGGAAGAGCATTCGCTGACATGATGAAGAGACCGACGACAGCGGATCGCGTTGCGAGGCTCGGCCGCACGATAGTGAGACTGCGAGTCACGCCACGAGGTGGGCGCGCCGCACTCCCGGACGGGCCGCGCAAACCGCCCGGTGGCTCAACGGCAGGAGAGGCCAGCTGGTCAGTCCCGCCAGCTGGCGCCAGACGCCGACGGAGCGGAGCGGGGCGACGGCACCACCGCACCCGCCTCACCCACCTCGTCCGATTCGGCCTTGTCGATCTGGCCGTCGGCGTCATCGTCCAGCTGCAGGTGTAGCGAACTGATGGCGTCGTACGAGAGCAGGTCCTCCTCAGCCTCCCCTGGCGGCGGCGGACGGCTGGTCACGACAGGACACAGACACAGACACAGACAAGACACAGACACAGACACAGGACAGACACGACACGGACACGGACACGGTCACGGACACGGACACGGTCACGGACACGGACACGGACACGGACACGGACACGGACACGGACACGGACACGGACACGGACACGGACACGGACACGGACACGGACAGCGGCGGCTGGGCCGCCGACACTGAGGCGCCTCTGCGCTGCTTAGCCTGCATTTCCCACAAACAGGACGAAGATGACACGTAGCATGCGGTCTCTTGTGACAACGGGAAGTCTGTTCCGGCTCAGGACCGCATGCGACAGGCAATAATGGTCCGATTTTATGTGAGAAATACATATTTGGTCGCACAAGAAATGCTGACCCCGAAAACGATGACGTCGTGCGACGGACTTACTAGCCACCAGATCGGGGTTTTAGCCAGGTAAACACGTGAGAAAAGAACAATAATTATAAACGGGGGCGGGGTGACAGCCCTTAAAGCCCCGATTGTCACGTGCGCCTGTCACACAAATTGTCCACGACGAACTTTCAGAAAGCACGATAAACTAGACTACTCCTCACCACCATATGCTGCATCTTTCCTAAAACGCGTTTGCTTACCCCTTCCTCCCCTACCTGTCAAGGTGTTAGCGAGCGAAGTCTGATGATTGCTACCATCAAGTGGATTCCTCGAGAAGCTTACAAATGATTTTTGTCAGAGTCAGCATAAAGGACGGCCGCAGCACAGATAATTTTCACTGACGCAGCAGCAGAGTCCGGAACAACCATGACGTACGGCGCGGCTGCAGTAAATCCGTGGTCGCGCCGCATGCAATTTTACAGCCCCTGCAACGACCGAGCCGGCCGTCTGTTATGGGGGCTTACAAGGGATTGGGACCCTATGCACCTGTGATCTCCTTCTCGGCTGGCTGTCTGGACGCCACCAACACCTATCTAACGGGCGCGTCGGACAGTCAGCCGAGGCCGGGCTCCTCGCGAGCGGTGGCCGGTCGGACGGCGGCCTCGCCGCCGGCACCAGTCCCGCCAGCGTGGCCGGCCGGACGGCGCCTCGCCGCCGGCACCAGTCCGTCTCCACCAGTCCTCCGCAGGCTGGCCACGGCCGGGCTCCTCGCGAGCGTGGCCGACCGGACGGGCCTCGCCGTCGGAACACAGCCCGTCCCAACCAGCCCGGCCAGCAGGGCTGGCGACCGGCAGGGCTCCTCGCGAGCGGTGGCCGACCGGACGGCGCCTCGCCGCCAGCACCAGTCCGTTCCCCGCCCGCGTCGCAGGCTGGCCGCGGCCGGGCTCCTCGCGAGGCGGCGGACGGCGCCTCACCGCCGCACCAGTCCGGCCCGCAGGCTGGCCGCGGTGGGGATCTGGACGGTCCTGCCTATGCTCGTTGACGGCATGCGAGTTGGGGTGGGGCAGCGAGACGCGACAGTGCGCCGTACGGGTCGGCCAGTGCCTTGACGCAGGAAGTTCAGTTCGCCAGTTGGTTCAGTAGCTAATTTAATTCAGATAGACCGTCCCCTCTGCTATAAATGAAGCGGGACTGTGATAATAGGCCCGGAACCGTTCTCTCGCGTCTCCAGCTGACAGCGGCAAGCCCAGCTGGCGAACAGGTGGCTCAGCTGAGCCCGTACCCATCTCTGTCATGTACTGAGCAGCAGGTGTGACAACAGGCGCGCAAGTGCACAGTTGGTTCACTTGGTTGTTCACCGGCGCCACATCACGGCAGCCGTACCCCGAGCACAGCTCTTCCTGCTCACAAGAACGCCTCACGTCGCCCGTCGCCCGGCACTGATGAGCCCGTGCCGGGCGGCTGGCGCGTGACGCCGTCCCGCGCCCGTCGGACCGCCTGCCGTCAGCGCCCAGCGTCACGGCCCCACCCGCGCCCCTCATCCGTCACGTCGCCGCGGTCCACGACGCGGCGTCACGAGCGGGCGTCCGCGTCACGCCCGCCAGGGGTGACAGCGGCGTGCCGTCGGGTCGAGCTTCAACACGAGCAGTCCGCCTTGGGAGCGCTTCTGCGGCCTGGGCTGGCTGTTTAGCCACTGGGAGGGCCCGCTGTTTACGGAGCTGGGTCGGCCACTCATGACAGAGCGCGCCACATATTAAGAAGAGTGTTAACGTCGAGCGCTGTTTCAGGTCGGCACCCCAGCGCGGAATGAAAAAAAACGCGAGAGAAAACAACTCAACCTCTGTAAATAGGGAAATTCGGAGCACACAAACAGACACTTGAACCGACCGCCCAGCAGACACAGAGCCAGGCAGACGGAGAAAAGAGGCGGCCGCAGGCGGCCGGAAGGAGGGCACCGACCCACAGCCGCCGTTACCCGGCCTCGGCTGCGCAGCATCTGTGGTTCTGGCGGCCGCGTAAGGTCAGCCGCTGCCCGGGCGCCAAGGCTCACAACAGGTGGCCGGCCGCCGAGCCACCGTAACCAAGCGGTAGGCGGGCGGTGACGGCGCTGCCACCGACCACACGGACGGCGTCACACGCCGGCCGCCGGCACGGCTCGGCGACCGCACCGTTCCAGTCACCGGGCGGCGGCCGGCCAGCTGGCGA